TTGTGGATTCCACTTGTAGAAATGGAAAATGGGACTTATAAATGCTTGTTCTTTTCTTTCCCACCCATCTCTTCCCCTTCCAGACACTGAATTCTGTTTGGCATTCGTGTGATTTGGCTTCCTTCCTAGCAGATTTGAAGCTGGAAGAGAGGTGAAAACTGTAAGGGAAACAAGATAGAAGAAACAGTAAGAGTCTGAGGCATGTGTCAGAGGCGGCCAGCACCGAGAGCAGCAGGCTGTCTGTGGATGCGCCAAGCAGACTGTCCAAACCAAAAGTAAAAGCTGAAAAGAGGATAAAATATTTGGCATTAGAACGTTCTGAAGAGGCGACAGTGTGGTCATCATGAATACACATGTCCTTAATAACCCTTTTGTTGGGGAGGGAGTGTTTGGGTGGAGTGTTTGAATATACTGCAGAAAAAGTAGGCTGACCCTCGGCATCAGCACGCGTGCAGGAAAAAATCTCAAAATTCAGTGAACGTATTTTTATTTGGCAAAGATGTCCACGAGGAATTTTATAATCTTTAAAACGAGCACTGTGATTAGAGAAGAAATCTCTATGCCCTCGGAAAGGAGCTGGCTCTGTGGTTTACAACTCTTACCAAACCTGAATGAGCAGCTCGGTTTGGAGCAGAGCATTTCCTAATTAGGTAAAACACACTCAAATGTCTGCTTTTGGAACTGCACCCGGGTCAAGGGGTTTGCTCCAACCACTCGAGTGCATCTTGTGCCAAAAATGACTAGTTAGTGGGAGGGGAGCGGGGAGAGAACATTGCAGTTCCCAGCTCCTTGGTCTTGAAACACAAACCATATTTAGTCATGAATCACAAATCGAAGGAGAATCTCAGTGTGAAAACTCTAGTCCGAGTTGAAGCTGCCAAGCCCTGATTTACAGCAAAGATCAGCCTAGGGTGGCAGGGCTGTCCACAGTCCCGCCTGCCTCACCAGGCTGAGAGAAACGCAAACCAGACATCCCGTAGGCTGAGACACAAACAGCTGTCAGATGCACACTCTGCTGCCTCCTTCCTATTCACAGAGAAAGATTCAGTTGGTTTCCTGCTGCGCTCTGCTGCAAGCAATCAACCACCGACCGACTGCAATGCACATCCTCAAGTGTAGCTCACAGAAGACACTACCAATTAGAGCCAAGGGAACTCGATGCAAATACACAGATAGCCAGTGTCAAAAACCAGGCAACTCGCCTCTGGTTGCTTCTAAAATCTGCTTCCAGACACCTTCGCTGCACCAAAAGTACAGTCCAATTTAAAACCCCCACATCAAATCAGAACCACAAATACTGAAGTTTTCAGTGCCTAAATATAAATAAATGTATAACTTACTACAAACAGCTAAGCTGCCTCCTTGAACTGCGCTTCAAGATTTGGGCTGTTGGTTCAGTATAAACAGATTTTACGGGTAACAGACATAGATTTCAGCCCATCTTCCTCTCCCCTTCCTCCCCGACACCAAGCTGCATCTTAGCCTTGTTTTTAATATTAAATATTTAGGGCTGATATGTACAATCGTTTTAGTAGTATAATCTTCATTCAAAAATTTCAGAGTCGTGAGCCCAGCCAAATTCCCGTAGACGACGCTGTATTACGCTGAGTAAGATCAGAGCCGCTGGATCTGTAAATCACATCCCTGGGCCTGTGCCACTTACCCTGTCAGTGCTCTGCTGGGCTTCTCCGCTCTGGGTGGTGTTCAGGGAAGCTGAATTCTGAAGGGTTATATAGCCCCTTGGTCTGCTCCCCTCCCACTTGCTTCCCAAACAAGGAACAAAGACTGACTTGAGCCCGTCGTTCAGTCTAACACAACCATATAGGGACCTCAGCACAAAACTCTCTAATCTGGGTGGCCGGAGGCCTGGGTCTCTTCCACTGCATTCCACTGCTCTGCTCATGAAACAGGAGGCAGCTCAGCTGCCTTGGGAGATAAACACCCCAAGCCTTCAGAACAACTGCTGAAATGGCCAAAGATACTAAGCTAGTGTAATGGGGCCGAGGCAGGCATGGTTTGCACATTTCTCAGAAGATGCCAGCCTGCTGTCATGCTGGCATTTCAGGGCATTTCCTAGTGAACCGAGTTCAGAAAGGAGTAGCTTCTGAGGAGTAGGAACTTTTAAAAATTCTCCTGCAAAGATCACCTGCAATGAAGAAAGATATTGTTTCAATTGTCCATAAATATATAGAGGGAATAATGATTCTACCTAGTCATATTGTGTTTATAAATCAAGTTTGTGAGCAGTGTTAATGGAAATAGGAATTGCAGTGGAGACCGGGTTGACAGGTTCATGTTTCACAGAGGAATTTGGAAGTCAGCATTACCATAACCACTTTAATCTTTTGGTACATTAGGTATGTCTACTAATTGGTCACTGAGCAATTTAGCAGCATGATCAGGGACCATCCTTTTATCAGAGTCCATATGGCATTCTGTCACAGAAGCAGTTTGAAAGAGAAAAGGGCGTGTTCAGGGGAAGTCTTTCCCATCCTCCTCTCTCCCCGCTAACTCGTTTGACAGGTGATAGAGAGACAAGGGGACCCAGACATTTCTCAAAGATAGGTAGTGAATGAACACAAACCTGGCCTTAAGCATTCATTTCCAAGCGTCAATGGATAGCTTCAGTGGTTTTACGTTTATTTGCTCCCATTCTCCAAGCCAAGGTTCTAACTAAATTCATGATAGAAATATTTTTGATGGATACTATGAGTATTTCTGGACTGACTTGTGAGAATGAATGAATGGCTTTATTTTACAACTGTGGCCAGCTGTTCACTCATGTTACTGTATCCGATCGGTTTAATTTATGGTGTACACACACATACGCTTAGATTTGTCTTTGAGAAGTTGCGCTATTGATTATTAGAACATTTTAAATAGCTTAATATTAAATGATAGCAGGTTTCTCTATATTTTTCAGGAATTTTGTCAACTGTGTCTAGTTTTTGTCACCCAGAAAATACAACTTTCTGAATGTTCAAATAGGAAGACGATAGAGTACAACATAAAGTTGGGCTTTGGGGATTAATTCAATGGTGCTTATCGCAGGGATCATGTGAAACAAAAAGTCCTTATTTTCCTGATCAGGAGGGCAATTTGAGTAGAGGTGGGATTCCCCCATCTCCCGCTCTGTCTCAAGCAGGGTCTTTCTCATCCTTGGTGACTTTATGAAGTGAATATTCCTTTAAACACCAGAAGAAGAGTTTTGATACTCATCTTTATGACTCATGTCATTTTATTTCTTGAGTATAGTAGTGTGCATCCACAGCTCTGACAGCAATCAATTTTCATGACATAGACAGACATCCAAGGAGATAACTCAAGATTTAGGGGTTTTTTACAAGTTTTTTTTTTTCTTTCCTTCCTTCCCTCTTTTCTTTCTTCCTTCCTTCCCTCCTCCCCTCCTTCCTTCCTTCCTTCCCTCCTTTCTTTCCTCTTTCCTTCCTTCCTTCTTTCCTTTCTTCCTTCCTCCCTTCCCTCCTTCCTTTCTTCCTTCCTTCCTTGCTTTCTTGGTTTCATCTGTGATACTAACCAGGGAGAAACTGTAACTGAAAACAAATTTCTGAACTAGTGAGTAAAAGGCCTCATTGTCTGGGTGAGATTTATACTCCTGTGCCCCATCCAAGTCTCTTCAGGGAGAGAAGGCAGCACTGGCTGAGTACGTGTGTGTATGAAGAATCTCCAGTTGAGTGGCCGGAAATCTTCCAGGGCTCTCAGCCACGTATCCAAGGAGTTATGGAGCAATTAGAAAAACAATAGTGCCTGATGACTTGGTTGCAGTTCAGGAAAACTATAAAATAAATTCCAAAGTCTAAGCACATATTCAAGAATCATCTCCAGACCTGTCGTTCTGCAAACATCACACACCATCTTGGTAACATTATCCAGTGATGATTTATTGTAAATTCTTTGAGACCCGGGATAATTTTAATCCTCTTTGGGGCCCAGTCCAAAGCTGAGTGAGCAGTGAGTGCTCAATAATTACCTAACAATTTCTTGATTATTCTTCATCCCCAGTGCCTTGCTGAATAAAAATTAAGCCATGTCAATACAAGCAAACATTCATATAATATGAATTTCTGGTATGAAATATGATTTTCTTCTGCTCTTGAAAATTTGGGCTGTAGGAATTGTTTTCTCTAGACTGATCACACTCCTTAGCTATTTTGTTCAGCTCATAAAATTCATTTCATCTGAGAAGACACAGTGAGAGCAAGCCATCCTTTCCACCTCCCTTTCTTGGAATTCTCCAGGTTCTGAAATTCTCAGAACCAAAGGCTGAGTTCTCCCAAGACAGCCTAAGCAGACAAACTCATCAAGGCCATGGTGGCACGATGACCACTCTGACCACGTCTGCAGGGATTTGCCAGGCTCTGTTCTGTTTTCTACTTGAACATAATCAGGATTCTTTATGGCAAATTTGATTTGACGCCTCCCGTGGGGGTGTAAGAGCAGGGATTTGGGAGATATGCTAATACTCAGTAGATGGTGTTTATTTTCATTGTGTTCCCATTTATTTCAAAATCTGAGAAGCTCAAAGGAATGTCCCATAAGAGAAGACCCTTGGCACACTAAATGTGAGAGAAACAACATGCGACATAAGGAAGGGATGCAGTGACAATCCGGCCTCAGACCTTGACTTTATATAAAGGCAAAACATTTTGGAGCAATATGCAGGGATTTTAAGTCAGAGTTCAAGATCTAGATCTACCACTTCCCAGTTCTGTGTCGTCTCCCTGCTTTAGCTTTCTTAGGTGAAAAATGGAGTTAATAGGGCCCAGCTCAGTGGCATAGTGGTTAAGCTTGGCATACTCCACTTAGGCGGCCTGGGTTTGCAAGTTTGGATCCCAGGCACAGACCTACACCACTCATCAGCCATGCCTTGGCAACACCCCACATGCAAAGTGGAGGAACATTGGCACAGATGTTAGCTCAGGGCTAATCTTCCTCAAGCAAAAAAGGAGGAAGACTGGCAACAGATGTTAGCTCAGGGCTAATCTTCCTCAGAAAAAAAAAAAAAATAGAGTTAATAATCATACCTTATCACAAGGTGGTAATGAGATGTGAAGAGTTAACAAATGAGAAGTGCCTAGAGCACTGACTAGCCCTGTGGAGAGACGACTATGTAATTGTTAGCTGTTATTATCACCAAGTGTTCTGTAAGAGGAAGTTAGATCTAGAGGCGAGAGAGATACTTTCTCAGATAAAAGTTCAGAGGTAAACTCTTAACCAGAATGTGACACCCTGTTTCCTGTTGCTGCTTGAACAAATTACAACAAACTTACTGGTTTCAAACAACAAAAATTTATTATGTTACAGTTCTTGAAACAGGGTTCACTGGGCTGACATCAAGGTGGCTGTCTTTCTTTTGCAAGCTCTGGGGGAGAATCTGTTTCCTCACCTTTTGTACTTTCTAGAGGCCACCTGCATTCCTTGGCTTACAGCCCCTTTTTCCCATCTTCAAAGCTAGCAGTGCAGCATCTTCAAATCTCTCTTTTTGATCTTGACCATTCTGCCTCCTTCTTAGAATGGCCCTGTCACTACACTGGGCCCTGCTGAATAATCCAGGATAATCTCCCCATTTTAACAACATTAACTTAATCACATCTGCAAAGTTCCTTTTCACAGGTTTTGGGGATGAGGATAGGGATAGGTTGAGGAGGCCATTATTCTGAATGCCACATATGTCCATCCCATCACACACGCAAATGTATTTCCTGTTGCACGTCAAGGCATTTGTAGCAGTTTCTCAGTTTAAAAATCATATCTGCCCTGTTCAACCAATGGCATTGATGTTAGATATACTTACTAACATTTAATAGACACTTAAGAGATAGTGCCCGCGTCCTATCTTAGGAAAGGGATCAAAAAACTGTAAAGCTGTCTGTCCATAATCCAATAAAGGCCAACTGGGAAAGCAGAATAAGCTTGTTTATGCCTTTAAACTTTTCAGAGGGTTTAGAATACGTAAAGTATTTCTAGATTGAAAGAAGACTTTCAAGTGCTTTATTTTATTTTATTTGTAAAAGGACGCAATGCATGTTGGATTGCAGAATAGCACCCTGTTAGATAGGGGAGGCAGAACAATTTTTAGCATTCTCGTTGTCACCAAAAGATAACTTGGGAAATTAGATTTAACAGTGAAGAACAGAGAGCTTTAAAAGCTGAGTTAAATTCCCGGAGGAGAAAGACGCCAGCTATCGTCCCTTTGTCAAGGCACTTAGTTTTTGCCTGCTTCTTCTGCCTTACACCCCCCACCCCCCACCCCCCAAGTAGTAGGTATCCAGCAAAGTCTGAATGATGGACTTTTCCACTAGCAAATCAGACTAGCTTACAGTTTAGGACCTTTGCTCATGCTGTTCCTCTACCTGGAACAGTCTTTCCCCATTTATCCTTCCAACTTCGCCCCTCACTCCAGTTCTTCTTCTGGCATGCTCTACTCATCCTCCTCAACTCAGGTAGGTGTCACCACCCCCGGGGAAGCCTTCCCTGCCCACCTCCATACCCCATTCTCTGTTTGCCCCTACCACACTATGTTCAGCTCTCTCATAGGACTCACAACATTGCTCCATAATAATACACCTAACTTCCAGGCTAGACTATAACATGTTTGAGGGCAAAGACTAAATTGATTTCATCTTTGCATTCATAGAGCCTGGAACATTCAGTAAATTTTTCCTGAACTGAACTGAATCAAGCACAGAAAATGCTTAGCAAGTGATTTTTCAACAATAAAGGTCAAAGGTATTCTGAGGAGAGGGTAAATAATAACAACATCAACTAATATTTATCAGATAGTACTTTGAGCTATTTTCTCTATATACATGAGCTCATTTAATCTTCACAGCAGCCATAAGCAATACTGTTATTCCCTTTTATAGGTGAGGAAATAGAGGCTCAGATAAGCTAAATATCTTGCAAAAGGCGTCATAGCTAGTAAGCGGTGGAGCAGAGAATCAGACTCAGACACGTCTTGGTTTGACCAGGGATTGAGTTGAAGCACATACACAGAAGTTAGGTAGGGGCCTGGGTGTCAGGATCTACCAAGGGAGCAGGGAGCAAGGGGTTTAACCATCATGCAAAGGCAGGTGAATTCACTGTTCAACATCCCTGCCTCATGAAATCCTGGGCACACAGGACAATTCAGGCACCAGCTGGCTCAAGTGAGCGAAAACATCCCTAGCATCAGCTCCTCCCTCCTTCCCTGACTAGACTCGAATCTCCCAGCCTCCTACTAGTTAAAGCTCTTCTTCCCTAAAGCCTTGGATCTCTAGGGTGACTATCATGGTTTGCCCATAACTGAGAGATTTCTCAGGATGTGGGACTGTTAGTGCTTGAGATAGTCTTGGGCAAACCAGGACAAGTTGGTTATCCTGATTTTCACCAATGATAAGAGTGGCCTGTCCTACGTATTACTCACAGGGACTCTTTAGGCATTCTTCCTCTCAGAGGCCCCTGGAGAAGACCACAAATGTCCCCTTCACACCAATTATATGGATCAGCACTGTCCAACAGAACTTTCTACAATGATGGAAATGTTCAATATCTGCACTATTCAGTACAGTAGCCACTAGCCACATGTGACTATTGATCACTGAAATGTGGGTAGGAATTGAATTTTTCATTTTATTTAATTTTAATTAAATTTAAATGCCATATGTGGCTAGTAGCCACTATATTGGACATCACAGGAACAGAGGTTATTTTTAAAGTTGACTACATATAAAATCAGCTAAGGGGCTTTAAAAAAATCCCAATGCCCAGGCCACACTCCAGATCAATTAAATCAGAGCATCTGGGATGGGGCACAGACATCCAAAGTGCAGCCAAGGATGAGAACCTTCAGAGTAGACCAGGGTTCTCAAAGCATGATCTGGGTTGATTATATCAGCATCAACAAGACTGTGTGTTAATAATACACAAAGCTGAACCCCCTCCCACCCAAACACACCTCCTAAATAAAAATCCTGGGGAAGATCTTTGAATAAATTTTTTAAAATAAACTTTTCATTTCAGAATAGATTTAGGTTTACAGAAAACTTATGAAGATAGTACATAGTTCCTGATACCCCACACCCAGTTTCCTCTATTATTAACATCTTACATTAGCATGGTACATTTGTCACAATTACTGAACCAATAGTGATACTTCCTTATTAACTGAAGTGCATACTTTATTCAGATTTCCTTAGTTTTACCTAATGTCCCTTTTTTGTTCCAGGATCCTACCCAGAATACCACATTACGTTTAGTTGTCGTGTCTCCTTAGGTTCCTCTTGGCTGTGATGGTTTCTTAGACTTTCCTTATTTTTAATGACCTTGACAGTTTTGAAGAGTACTGGTCAGGTATCATTGGGAATTTTCTAATGATTTTCTCATGATTAGACTGAGGTTATATGTTTTGAGGAGGAACAGCTCAGAGGTAAAGTGCCATTCTCATCACTGCATATCAAGTGTACATGTTATCAAGAGGACTTATCACAATTGATGTTAATCTTAATCACCTGACTGAGGTTTACAGCTTTCTCTATGGTAAAGTTACTCTTCTCCCACCCCCTTCCATACTATACTCTTTGGAAGTCACCATTCAAGGTCTACACTTAAAGAATGGGGAGTTACACTCCACCTCCTTGAGGGCAATGTATCCACATAAATTATCAGGAATGGAATCTATTTTTGATAGGATCCTCAATGATTCTTATACATACTGGAATTTGGGAATCACTGGGCTGAAAGGGTAGAATCACGTGATGTCCTGGGGTTCTTTCCAACTTGAAACCCCAGTTGGGTTCCATCCATCAACTCGATGACTCTCTGACTCTCTAAGTGTGGATGACGTGGTGAATGGGTGGATTTGCTGGACTTCTGTGGAGACTAACTGATAGTCACTTATTTAGTCTAGAAACCAAGTTGTGAATCCTCTAGACACAAAACAGTGAATAAATATAGAATTGTTAATATTACCACCAGTGTTTTGGAATTGGAACCCAGCATGTTGGAGGAGAAAAAAGCCATACCAAGGAGGATATATATAGTGCTTCGGACTGGAGTCATAGACACCATTGAGGAGTGAGCTAAAGAAGACAAAATATCAGCTGTTTCAATTAGAGAAACGGTGTTGTGGTGGAGCAACTTATCCTGGGATAAACAAGGCTGTGTGAAGAGGATCACATTGCTTATGAGCAGTATAGGAAGTTCAGAGCTACAATAGCATTATTAACAGCAACAACAAACATTCATTACCCAGTTAGCATGGATCAGGTATCAACTGTACTCTTAATATATCCATTCTTTAAACCAGGAAACGGAAGCTGAGTTTAAGTAACTTACCCAAGGTCATACCATTTCTGAGTAATGGGGTTGGAATTCAAACTCAGGTCTGTATGACTTTGGACCTGAGATTAAAGCAAAGGATTAGGCCAGCTGTGTTCTTAGAGAAACAGGACATTCCCAAAGCTATCAGAAGGATGTACCTCACACAACAGGAGAGAAGCAACCAAGTTCCCGCTCAGGAAGGTGGAAAAAGGATGGAAGCTTATCAAAGTCACCGACTTCAGAGAAACAATATAGGAAAGGCAAGTTGAAGATGAAATCAGCAGGGAGGGTTCTGGCGCATGAACTGTTGAGAGATTTTATGGGGTAAAAGATAATTCAGAAATTCATTTGTTACTAATGGAAGCCTTGAACTATTAACAAAGTCATCTCACCAAGGGGGAAGTGTCTTGTTATTGCTGTTTATAAGCCACAGAAAGTCTCCGCAATGTGGATCTCTGTTTGGCTTAGCAAAGCTGCAGTTGGAGACTTAACCTATTTGTTTCGCAAGGCATTGATCAGCAAAGTGTTCCATTTTAATAATCAAGGAAATGATCAGGTGATGAGGATTGTGAGAGGCCCAGAAGCCTGGCCACATAGAGAAATGGCTCTGAGTAACTGAGAAGGCTTAGTCAGAAGTCAGGACCTGAGGGAGACGTGAGGGCTGCCTGACGCACTGGAGTGACGTGGAGGAGGAGAGCTGGCGTCTTCATGGTCCTTGTGAAAGTATACCTGCACCCATGGGTTACGTCTACAAGGAAACAGTTTTCACTTACCTTCACCTAGAAACTCAGGTGAAAGTTTCTACCAACCCAATAACACAGAGGACGACTTACCTTATAGGGTAGAGCACGCCTTGTCTGTTGAATTAATTAATTGGAAGCAAGATGGTTTCAGGACTGTTACAGAATGGATTCTTGTACTATGTGCAAAGTTTGAAGAGATCTTTAAGTACCTTTTAACTGTTTGACTGTCCAATCTTTTAATAGAGTATGAATGACACTGTACTGAGTGTCTTTGATGAGTGTTACTGCCCATCTCTAGTCCCCAAAATATGAGAAAGATCAATATCAACTGTTACAAATATGCAATATACAGCTATAACAGTGTTATGCTTTTCCCAACCTGGCTGATTTACACACATCAGAGGAAAATGTAGTACAGGCAAGCAGAGAATAGCCGCAGAGTAACAGAAAGACCCCTGGCATGGGAATCCCACCGTCCTGACTCTGGCAACAAGAAGCTAATGTGACTTGGGACAAGATCTTTACATCTCTGGATCTCCACAACTTATTTCTGAAATGGAAGTTTGAGCTCTTGCACTTCTCAGTTTTCTTCCAGTTCTGACATTCTATGTGATCTTCCCCTCGTGTTTATCTTGAAACAGTGTTTACTCAATCACGATGAGAAAGTATTAGGCATTATCATTCAATGAAAATCAGAAGCCTTAAGACTATGGTTTGCTGATGTTGCTCCAGAAAATATAAACAACAGGATTATTATTATTGCATTGATTGACCTTTCTAATTCTTAATTTCTTGAAGTGTGCACAACCTATATATGATATTTTTGCTGTGCATTGCTCATCTATGTCCCAAAATGTAGGGCAAGTTTCGCTTATCCAAATGCAGAAATGACTGAAAAGGCAGAGTGATACCTCCAATGAGCAGGGGACCTCGGTACCCCATAAAGGAGTCAGCCGCCAATGTGCCTATTCATCGTTGACACACTTGTTTAGTGTTGCTAGATTTTCCGCTTTTTAAGAGAAGGCAGCCATTGTGATTTTTATGTGTAATCCTCTCATTGTTGGCGATTAAGACACGCTAAAAAAAAAAAGCAATGAAAGAGGCTAAATCAGTCTTTTCCATGGGCCTTCAGTTTGTAAACTCTGATGTACAAATGATGATATGACTGATTCAATCACAATTCCAGTGCTCCCTGGCGCTCCACCCTACAGCATTTCAATGGATCATTAATTTTAAAAGAGAGGGAGCAGAAGTATGAAATGCTATCAAGGCTTAGTTTTCAAAAATGCGTTACGTGATATAACAGAATTAAGGGGTAAAAGGGCAACAAATTCAGCGAAGAGGGCAGTCTCAATTAACAATATTTCAGGTATGCATCCTCCTGCCTGCTTTGTTATCAGTTTTTTAGATGTGGTTCTACAACTTTCATTTGTAGATGGAAGGAAGTGGTAACAAAATATCTCAGGTCAGTGTGTTTGATGATATCACAGAAGGTGTATATACTAAGTGTGTGAACACAAAAGTGTCACACACTATTTCAGTGTCTAAAATAAGGAAAAATGACCATCTAACCAGCAAGTGATTACCATGATGTGGAATGAATTACATAAGGAAATCTGGGGAAATTTCCAGGTGTCAATACTCTGGGCAGATTTTGAGGAGCACAGGATTTGGAGCAAATATCAAAAATGCCTTAGGTAGTCTGAATTTAATTCCAAAGATAGACAGGGGAAGAACAGAACTTAAATTTAGTGCCTGGAATGTCCCCAAGTATAGTCCTTATTACATGGATAATAAGATGATTGAAATAGCTTCTTACCCTTCAGAAGTAAGGGATTAAACAGCAAGTCTGATTTACTAGGAGAGGAATGGTGGAAACGAATGAGAATTTCTATTTTTTTAATACTCATCTGAGTTTAAATAGCCAAGTAATTTTTGCCCCTCTCCTGGAAGTCACCTTGGGAAGTTACACTACTTCAACAACGCCCACCATTGCTCAGATCATCTGGATTTATGGACCAAATCAGTAGCAAATTCTTTTGGATCACTCTAGTGTTGGCAAATCTCTGTCCTTTGAGGATGGGTTTGATTTTTGTCTGCAGCCCAGTGTCATTCTTATCAAAGGCTGGCAAAGAAGATGAGTGGGCAAGCTTGGGTATTACCATTTTTGGTCAAAACAGAAGTAGGTTCTGGAGTAACCAGACTGACATGCTTTTGTGGCTTGTAAAGAACCAGGAAGTACAATACACATTTAGCCATACGTTCCTGCAGATTTTCTTAAAGATCCCTCTTTTCTGCATGTCTATATTTTATTACAATGCTACAGTCTCTAATGATCTTCTAGATAGATTAAAATCCTCTTTCTTACTCTGCCATCTCATTTCTGATTTCTCTTTTTCCTAATAGGCCCCACTTAAGTCTAGACTATGCATCTATGTATTTTGCATATAGTATCTGTGTATTTTGTACAGACTGGCCTCTTTCCCTCTGTGTAGCTACAAGAATTCAACTATTAGGAGAACAAGGACATTCAAAGGGGGCTCCCTTTCACCACTCCCATTTGCTTCCCCCTCGCAATTTTCACTCCAAGCTTCACAAACATTTTTAATGTCCTCAGTTTCCCTTTTCCCCTGCAGCACACAAATCCATACAGTCCAGCCTCTAAGCCCTCAGGCAGTCCATTTCCAGAACCTGAGATACCTTCCTACTTCTTATTCTGTTAAATCGTGTTCCTGCCTCATTTTAAAAACCTGCTCAAATGAAAGTTCTTAGGTTAATTTTTCCACATGGAGAATGCTCTCGTCACTCCAGTGATTCACTCAGCACATTCCCTCATTGTAAGCTCTTATATTTTCCCACGTTTGCCCTACACTCAACCTTAGGTCACAAACTTGGAAGCAGCCAGTGCCATTGGTTATTTCCTCAGGGCACACTGGCCTTCTACACAGAGCAGGAACTCAGGAATGCAGTTAAGCAACTTCCTATTTCCCCCAACCTTAAAAGAGCTGCAATGACCATCTCAGACATTGTTATTTTCAGAAAGTTTTTCTAATTTATTTTAAGAAAAGAACAGATAAGATGCATACGATAAGGAAGTTCTCTGGCTCTAGGCTTTCTTCAGCACATTTCAGGATTATTACAACATGACAGCTTTGTTCTCTTTTCCTTAAACAGAGTGTGGCTGACCAGTGTCCCAGCCTTAGGAGGTCAAGCACATTAAGTATATAAATATATATCAACTGCCAAAAGCCAGTGCACGTACAGAGCCCTCCGCCAGGCAGGCTGGATCACACCTTGGGAGATCAGGTCATTGGGCAAAGCAGCCAAGTGTGGCCAGCATGCTTCTCTTTGCACTTCCACAAAGGGCAGATTTTCCCGGGGATTGCTGAGCTAAGGAGCTCCTTAGTAAAGGAGCCACAGACCATTGCACGAGTCTCTGTTTTGTGATATACCACTGGTTTGGGCTGATTTGCTGCTAACTAATTTCTGATCACCACTATGGCAGGTCTCTGGGACAGCCTTACAAAACTGTAAAGCACTCCTGAAATGTAATTAACCAATGTTTTTCCCACCCTAGTCCTTGAAAACAGAGTTAGAGCAAAGTTCTTAAAGCATGACCTAAACTCATAGAATCACAGTCATTGGAATCACTTGGGCAGTTTGTCAAACTGTACATTCCTTGGGCTCACTTGAGCCAGATTCTCTGGTGTGGGGCCTGAGATGTGCATTTAAACAAGAGCCACCCAGAAGCACTGGAACAGAGAGTAGGGGGCATACTCTTACAGAGAAGTCTCAAAAGTGCAGAAAAATACTGAGAGTCAGTTCATCATTATCATTATCATCTCTCGTTAGATTATGGTCCCAGCACGTGCCCTCAGAGAGCAGAGTGGATAGCAAGATATACAGACAGGGAAGGCAAGACAGGAGGCCTGTGTTCTGTGTTAGGCTCTGCCACTGATTGTATGGCTTTGAACAGTTCACTAAATCCTCTCATGTTGCTTTTGTCATCCATAACCAGAAGTGTGTGGGCCTATATATCTCAATATTCTTTTTACCGCTACCAATCTATGATTGAAATATTAAATTTGAAAATATAAATATGTAGTATAAAGTCTCCTGATAGCATCAATGAGGTAATAGGCCAAAGAGATTGATAGTTTTCATAAAAGGAAAAGGTGACTGAGATACAGTGGCTGAAGTTCTGCCCCAGGAGCCAGACCTTATCACTGAATGGCTGTGTGTGTGACTTGCATCCGCAGTTTCCTCATTTGTAAAATGACAATGACACCTGTTCAACCACTTCGCAGGGTTCCTGAGCTTTTAGAACTTATAGAAAGACACATACTGCTCAAGTGTTTTGAAAACTATAAAGTGGCAATCAATGGAACATATCATCAGTTGTCATCTAAGTTCGGATTAATTCAGGTGAGTATCAGGTGTCAGTAGATGCTTAAATGCTCGTTGTCCAGAGTGATGTGGGAAGCGCCAGGAACTTAGGGTTCCATTAGAAGATCCTCAGGCTCGAGTGAGAAGATCCCATAAAGAGTAATGTGGCCTGAATGATGCTGAGAAATGGCAGGCTGTGTGCCAAGATTGGCCTGGGAGTTTACGCAACACTCATTTTAGCATCAGACATACTTTCACCCCCAGAAAAGAAAGTGAACAGGAAGGGCCCTGTGAGCTATCTTTGGATGCTTCAAGAATTCTAAAAGCTGCAACTTGGAATTCAAGGCATTCACTTCCTTTTCCAACAAAATTGAGACCCTATAGGGTAATTTCATACTGAGGAGCTCCCACTTCTTTAAAACCTGATTGGAATTTGAGATAGTTGGAACAGGCCAAGACTCTTATTCTCTATGATGGAAGGCATCAAAAAGTAGGAGCAAACCTATTGGCTTTGGACTTGGGTTGGATTCAAATGCCAGTTTTCCAACAACTTATTTGAGTCATGGGGCAAATCATCGAGCATCTCAGCTCCTTAGTTTTCTCACCTGTGAAACAGGAATGACACAGCATCTACTTCATCACGTTGTCATGAGGACGGATGAGAGAACACAGTGTAATCCTGATTTCTGGTGACTTTCAATACTGTATTCCTCAGCATCGTTGCATTCTTACATGCATTTTATCACAATCCACGTTGTCTAAACCCAAATTGCTAAATGTAGCACACTCTGGCACCCTTCAAACACAAACAAAAATAAGCATAAGAACACGTTTCTTAAACTTCCAAAGATAAATTTATAATGTAGACCATATTGTTTCATAATTTTCATACTGTAAGCTGTATCTTGTAAAGGCCAATAAAATAAAAACAGGCTGAGTCACTGTGACTTACTTCAGCCAGCCCAGAAGCAATGAAAGTTCACACATCTGAACCCATTTTAACTAGCACTAAATTAAAAGTAGGAAAATGGTTTACAAGGTTCTCTTCTCCCACCCCCCAACCTTGGGACACTACTTGGGATAAATATAAATGTGAGCTTTTAAAATGAGTGATATCACAGGATTTTGTTGATATGATCATCGTACTACAGGCTTATATATTATTTAGAATTTAAAACAACTGTAGTGTCCAGATAACAGCTGCTTTTTTGCTGTAACATATGACAATAATTGAGACTCTCCAGTTGGACCTTAAGGTGTGTCATGGTCCTGACATTTCTTCAGAAGTAAAGTATTCAATTTGATAGTTTTGTATGTATAATTATGTGTATTTAACTTGTATGTTGGCTATTAAATTTGTATTTAAGTCTTTGAAAACTGATAACTCAGATATGTTAGATTTAGCAACTCATTTATCCAGAATATCTGACTAACCACAATATTGAATCATGTTTTGTGTGGTCACATCTACCCATTTAATGAACTTTCTTATTTTGCAGCAAGGTTATGGAATAGAGGTGATTTCTTTTGGGGTCAGGAGCCCAGCAAATCTACCTGCAGTCTTTGGTCACCTTCGGTTTAACATTCATAATAGAACAACTGAAAACATGTTTGTTTTCCTGAATCCATGACAACAAGAATTTATCCAAAAATCAGCTGTGGGTGCTGGTAACATAGGCACTCCACCGACCTGAAAGAATGCAGGCAAGGTCTGCATTTTGCGCATGTACTTGTCGATGGAGTACTTTTTTGGTAGAGAGGAACAAAAAATTCTGGCTTCTTCAGATGCAGGCAACCCCTCCTCCAAAAGAAGTCAAAATACCACTCCAGAGAACCTTGACTTTATAAGGGAAGGCAGCTTCTGAGTCACAGAAAGTCTTTTCCTGCTAAATTCTCACTGGCTGGCCTGGAATGAGGCTCTGCTAAAAATGTTTCAAGCAACTGTTGATTTAGGAATTTCTGTCCTCTTTTCTAGTAACAGTATGTGTATGCGCTATGGAGATTCTGCAGGTCACTCGCCCTTTTAAAGCCTTCTTCTTGGAAAATGGATGTGGAAGGAAGATTTCCCAGACTTTGAGAAGGAAAAGTTTTTGTCAGAACTTTGTATAGGTTTGGTATTTTGGGTAAAACATTACATTATTTAATTTTTTCCCGGACTACATACAGATGGAAAATGTCTCCGGGTAGAAGATCCTTCTAAATAAAAAGAAACATCCTAGAATACATAAAGTGTTAAGGGTTTGGAAAGCTATGATCTGTGTTGGATTAAGACTTTACTTTTTTTTTTCACATTGAATAGTACTCAAGACAATTTTTTAAGTAGGATCTTGATTGTTGAACTAAGAAGTTTAATCCTAAGTGGTGGGAGTGGGGGGAACTTGGAGCACATTGTTATTTCCATAAGATTTAAAATAGATTTCTCTAATGCCCTGCTTGCCTTGCCAATTCTCTCATCTCCCAAAAAAGGCCTTTAGTATCAATATTCCGTCTTAAAAAAAACTGCTTTGGAAGAATGAATATTTTCACATTCTGGTATGTCTTGGGGCATTGGCTGTGCCTGAACCCGCCCTGTAAGCTGAGCAGTCACCTCAGTGTGCCTCTGATGTCTCTATTTTGAAGGAAAAAACATGCCCCATTGGCATATTGTCCATTGTACAGAGATTTTCAGAGCTTTAACGTGTATCTGTCATGATTATTTGTTGGCTGGTTTACTCCCACTCCGATTTTTCAGATTTCTGAGATGATCAGTTTCTCAAGGAAGCCTTCCCTGACCACCAGACACCTTCTGGATAACTAGAGCTTGTTATATCCTCTAATAGCACTCAACCTCTCCCTCCTAGTACTTAGCGTAGTTTGTAACGGTATATTTATGTATGGCTATGTCATTAATATCTGCCTTTCTCACTAGGCTAGGGCAGGACCTCTGATTGTTCACCATTGGATCTCCAGTGTCTATTTCAATGTCTAGGGCACAGCAGGTGCTCAGTAAATGTCTCTCATGTAGATGTTGGTAAATTATAAACTCCACCTGAGCCTTTATGATGAATGAATGCCTTTAATCCTTCAGGAAATAGGCACTTTTTGAAAAATATGCTGATAGGAGACCCCAGATGTAACCACACTAACTGGAAAAAAGATGAATTTAGATGAGTTTTTAGGGATAGAACAGTGTTCTCAATATTCAAACAATCCATGAATCCCTTATGTTTAATGTTAAAATGCATACGGAAAATGTTTACATTTATGTACCTGGATAAACAGGCCTACCAGCTCTTCCTTTACTCACAGGCAAAGTCACCACTCCATTCAAGCAGATCTGTTTCTCCAAGAGGCCTCCCTCCAATCTCTGCCTCCCATTCCACTCTCCAGGAACAGCCCCAAATCCCAGTAAAGTCTTGTTGACCTGATTGTCCTCTCCACTGAGTTCCCTCTGAAGGCAGCGTGAGCCCTCTCTGTCTTCCATCACCACTTTTATCCCAAGATTTCTTTGGACCTCAGGCCCGTGCTCGACAGAGAGGGCATTCAGTTAGCAATGTTGGGATCATCTGAATAGTTCTAGTTCTAGCTAAGCACAACTCAGAGGAGCAGTAAGCGCTAGGGGGTGGGAGGAAGGACATCATACCAGAATACTAAAATTGCATTTGAATAGTCTAGAAATTAGACAGTCTGCATAGCTCTGGAATTTCCCCATTTGATATTTCTGAATCCAAAATCTGACAAAGACATATGTCTGAGTTCGTGTCTGACATTGGGATTTCACCACCCAAAGATAACAAAATGCAAAGACAAACTTTGTCTTCTCTTGCCCTTATCCATAAAAGGCACAAATAATAGACATCTTCCTGAATAATGGAGTCTGATTTTCGAGCACTTCTCAGAAGATTATGGATTTGGGCAGGAAAGGGTTTTCCAGAACACCTAAACTGGAGAAGGCAGACATTTTTCTTACTCCCACCTTTACTAAAGTTCAAAACTTCAGCTGCTTAAATGGGTATCTCACTTTCAAGTGTGTAGAATAATAGATGACATATTTGTTTTTCATCCTCAAGTTGTTAACTTGATGAAATAAGTAAAGCTAAGGACAAATACAAACAAAAAATGAGCAAACCCCATGTGGGATGTGTTGTGAAGGGCATCAACGGAATGGAGCCATATGATTCTGTCTCAATCTTTGTCAACACAGCCCATTTTAATTCAAGTTAGGATCTGAGTGTTTGGGTAAAGAGAATAAGCTAAGAATGAGTGTGAGATGTATTTCCTAAAATGCCATCTGCTACAAGTTTAAGTCCAAATCTCATTATTTGACTAACTCCTTCCTCTCTAGACCGTATGGGTTTGATTTTTTTCTGATGGGTTTGCCAGAAGTAGAAGCAAAAATGCTAACCACTTCAAGAGTTTTTTGTTGTTTTTTTTCGGTTTTGGTTTTTACTAATAGGACATTTGTAAAAGCAGGTCTATAATACAGACGGGAGCCACAGTACGTAGTGGCTTCAGCAATTTATGCAATATCCCTCTTCTTGCCTTTGCTGCATAATTTTTCTCCAGAAAACAGCCAAGAATGGGTGTTAAAGAGTGGTACTCTGACAGTGAGCTGACATATCAATCTGTACCTTCTCCAACAGTTTATTTAAGCCAGACTTACAGTTTTTGGAGAACTAGAAGACTGCTGCCCAATGGAACCACTTATCAATTATCCATTTCTAATGAAATGAAACAAAGTTCTCAATTGCTAACAATTAAGAGGAGAGGAGTCTAAATTAGCTGTCAGCTGGTCTTCAGGCAGTGGGAAAATAAAGAATTGGCTACTGTTATTGTTAATAGTGATTGATGTCACAAGAGGAATTTTGGGAACAGAGAGTTCAGGAAAACCATTGGTTCCCATTTATTTTTAGTCCGTTAACATTTAATGTAATATTTGATATGGTTGGATTTAGATCTACTATTTTATGGCTTATTTCTGTTTGTTTCTTTTGTTTTTTTGTGTTCTTTTCTTTTTCCTTGCCTGCCTTTATGTATTATTTGAATATCTTCTAAGTGTTATTTTAATTTATATGTTTTCTTTTTAGCTATATCTTTTGGGATTACTTTTAAGCAGTTGTTCTACGGATTATAATATGTATCCTTAAATATTCACAGTCCACTTAGAGTTAACATTGTACCACTTCCTGGAAAATGTTGAAACCTTACAAGAGGATAAGTACATTTACCCCTTCATCCTGTTACAATGTATTTTATAAATCTCATACAATAGTATAAGTTTTGCTTTAATATTCTCTGCATTATTTCTATTTTAGTATATGTGCTGTCAAAGTAAACACCCCATCTATCTTTTGATCTATTTCTGATCTGTTTCCTTAATATCTATTTGAACGGAGAATCCTACAGGCCATTGTGTAGCATTCTAGGTGTTTTAGATGGCAGATACAAAGATTGTGTTTGTGTGTATATGTGTATGTGTGTTTATGAGAGCTCAGTTATTGAAAAGAGCTATTGCAGAATACTAAAGCAGATTAAACCCATACGGAGTTTGTGGTTGTTTTATTTTAAAAGCTAACCTTGTAAGTCCTTAGTCTTTCCAAAAATAAGTTTAACTTCTGTGCTTCATTTTTCTATTTTCATTTTGCTGGTCCCTTCCCTTCCATCCCCCAGTGCTTTCCTCTGGGTGACCCACAGAATCAGAAATTCCTTATTGGGATGATTTCTGGCACTGCTTTGGAGATAGAGCCCGTGAATATTGACCCTGGAGCTCCCTGCCTGGCCCTGATGGATTCCCACTCTCAGGACCTCCAGGCATCA